GAGTCCCCACTCCAACATGGTCACCAACCTTGAAACCTTGACATTAGGACCAACCTTTGCCACAACCCCAGCAATCTCATGTCTGATAAGCAAACAGACAGAAGAAAAACACAGATAAATTAGCTTATGCTTATAGTATTCTCATCCATACAAACAACGGGAAAAGTCCAATACTTACCCAGGCACAACAGGATACTTTGAATCTCCGTGTTTATTCCTTGTCCAAATTACATCAGCATAACAAACACCACAGTGTGTAATTTTAATATATACGTCGTCACTCCCAAGAGCCCTTAGCAATCATCATTATCATATTGTCAAGATTTATTTAAAAAATTGAAAAAAAAAATGTAAACATGCAAGAATATCACAGGTAATAAATCCATACATTCTTATAAAGATATGTATCTATGTATTGATATGAATCTGTAGCATCAAACTAAAAACTGCAATAACCAGTAACTTAAGGCACTAAGGTTGGAATAAAAAATTGAAAACTCGAGATGCATAACATATATACCTGCGATTGAATTTATAAGGCGATAAAACTCCAGATGCATCTCTTGCTGCCCATGCAAGACAATCTTCCCCGACACCCTCGGAACTCATACTTTTACTACACCAAAATAACATAATTAGTCCCCAGTTAACTTTGAAATTTACAACAAAAACAACCAAGCCTTCTTCCACCTAAAGTTTACAACAAAAACAACAAAGCCTTATTCCAATAAGTGGAGTCGGCTAAAGTTTACAACAAAAACAACCAAACCTTATTCCACTAAGCATAGTCGGCTACATGGATAAACTTTTGATATAATGTTCTTTCCAGGACCATAAATCTATCCAAATAATGAATCTCAAGATTTTTTTAATAACTTCTCTTATAATTTTTCTAGGCCTTCCTCTACGTCGAGTTGTTTAACTTGACTCTATATGATCTACTCACCTTACCACAAAATCAACAGGTCTATCAGATTTAAATCCTACTAATCAAACAGTTAAGAGGAAGGTTAGGAATAGTGGATTCATGCAGGATAAAAAAATCATAGATCAAACAAAGGAAAAGGGGTTATTCCAAAGTATGAAATCATAATATAAATCAACAGAGAGTTTAAAAGAATTATGAAATTCAATTAAAAGAGTTCAATGATAATTTGACAAAGAGTTACCTTTGTAAGGGATTCACGGTGAAGAAGATAGACCAAACAGCTCGGAGGAGTTCGTGTCTTTCTGGGCATCCAACGTCAGAACTGAGTTTTGTTCATATATATATATATATATACACACACACGTGATTTGGTAAGTTGATTTCATTTTCTCTTTTTTCTTTCTTATATTCTTCTTTCATTAATCTTAGTATCAACTTTGTTTTCTAACCTTTTTATTATTATATTAATCAATGTTAGCCATGTTATTTGGCTTCTATGTTGTTTGGATGAGTTTTGAATTTTTTTTTAAAATAAAATAAAATTTTCTTTCTGATTTATAAAGATTAATCTATTTTACTTTCCTATCAAATCTAATTATCAAAAGAAATAACATGGCATTGTCATGTGGTTTTTTTTATAAATTTATTTATTTTTTAAATGATTTTAGTGACATGACTTTTATTTTTCTTTTTTTTAATGTCGTTAAGACAAGACAATCAACCATTTGACCATTTAATTCTATTGTTAATTCATTGCATTTAAAATATATAAATCACTGTTTGTAACTCTTTATTTTCATTATAGTCAAAATAACATAACAACACATAAACTATGGAGTATTATCATCAACAACAACACAATTACTCCATTCTACAAAGTGGAATGAGAGATACATAACATATATACCTGCAATTAAATTTGTAAGGCGACAAAAATCCAGATGCATCTCTTGCTGCCCATGCAAGACAATCTTCCCCGGACACCCTCAGAACTCATACTTTTACTACACCAAAATAACATAATTATTCCTCAGTTTACTTTAAAGTTTACAATTAAAATAATCAAGACTTATTATTCTACTAAGTAGAGGGATGACAATTTTACCAAGTGTATTAGTGTTGTTATCGAAGTAATAAAATTAAATTCGTCTCTACAGTGATTGTGAACTTTAAACAAGGAACATGTGTGATGTAAATTAAAATAGTAATTGGGGGGTTTTCAAGTTGTTTGGTTGAAAACGTAAAAAAAGAATTTTATAACGATAATGAGAAAAACGGTCAGGTCGTCTTATCAGAATCCTTTATTTCTACTCGATTGATGTAACGCGCATTAAAAGACATGCGCTGACTACATATTTACACGACGGACTAACTCTACCATTAATCTAGGCGCCAACTCCTTGATCCCTTATGCCAATTGTCACGTCAGATTAGGAAACAAAGTGTGTTAATCCCTTAGTCACAATTCCTAATCATATTACCTAGTCAATTAGAGAATTCAACAGTTAAAGTAGTTCAGATAGATATCCCTAAAATTGATTCGAATGTCGTAATAATCAAAAATCAATGTGCACAATCACTAATTGAATAATAACAATAAGTCAGAATAATAAGATTAACATCATTTGATCATATGTCCTAATAAAAAAACAGGTTCATCATCAAATTTGACCTAACTTAGGAGAATCTAGCTACCCGTGTTGAATTAATTCTATACCAATAGTTTAGATTCGAAGAACAAGAAGAATCCTTGAAGAAGAAGAAGAAGCTCTCCAATGAATTTCAAAATCTCCAAAATCGCACTTTATCGTTACTTTTTAGTCTTGATAATCGAACCCTTAAAATATCCTCTCTCTCTCTCTCTCTCTCTCTCTCTCTCTCTCTCTCTCTCTCTCTCTCTCTCTCTCTCTCTCTCTCTCTCTCTCTCTCTCTCTCTCTCTCTCTCTCTCTCTCTCTCTCTCTCTCTCTCTCTCTCTCTCTCTCTCTCTCTCTCTCTCTCTCTCTCTCCTTTATAAAACAGTCAAAAAAGTATGTCAACGAAAATCTACAACGAGGCCACACTGCCTTTCAACGTAGGCACATTGCATCATCATCAGTCTAACACAAATGCGTTACTTTATGGTGCGGGCGCGTTAGATTACAACGTGTGCGCATTGGCCGTTAGTGTGGAGTGTGAACTCCAATGGTGAGCAACGTGTTATAGCGGTGGAAAATTGAGATTAAGCTATTGATTTACTTAACTCACAAATAAATAGTCGCCATCATATTTTATTATTTCCAAATGAGTGAGAAAAGAGCGAATAAAACCCACATAAATTTTTAAAATAAAACTAATAAAACAAAGAGAACAAGATTCAAGGGTTGGTTATGCAAAGGGAGGTATTAGCACCCTAAACATCCATGGTACTCCATGGAAACCTCTTAAAATCAATGTTAATGGATAAAACTAGTTGTTTACAAAAGATTGTGGAGATGAGAAAAAAGAAATGGTTTTTATAATTTTGATCCGACAAAACTTCAAGAGCTTTATGCCTACGTATCTCCAATATGCAATGGAGAAATTAGAACTGCGTTGTTCTTATAAAAAAGAAAAAAGTTGTTTGTTTGGTTGATTTTAAATGAAGAAACATTTTGTCATCTTAAGGAGAATACTCAACTAATCATCCATAAACATGAGAAAGATGGACCTTTGCATCATATTGAAAGAAGGGCTCCAACTTAGATAGAAATCAACAAGTATGCTACTAACTCTTTCAAGTGAAAAAGAATCAACATCATATCAATCAATATTATGGAGATAAGAGAATTACATCTCAATTATGGAAATGACTCATGTCTAATCTTTGAGAAAAGATTTTAAAAGGAAAAGCCAAATGGCAAAAAGGTTTTGAATGAGTTTTGTATTTTTTAGTCTTTTGAAAATGTTTTATATGCTTAAGTGTCTTGAAGCATTTATTAAAGAATGCAGTTTTGAAAATACACTTGACAAAGTCAAGGTTTTTATTAATAAAGTGGTTCAAATTTAAAAACAAAAAGGTTTTGAAAAAGAAAGATGTTTTGAAAATTGAAGAAGATGAGCAAGAGATGAAGGGACTATCCTAAAGATAAAGTAAAAGCAAAGGTAGGAAAGATCTGACCAAGATAGAGAAATCATCTTGACATAAGCCAAACCACGCATCCATTCCCTTTAGATTAAGCCACATAAAAGCAAGAAATCAGATGAACATTACAAGCATTAGATAAAAATTTATATTTCAGGTGCAAGCTCAAGTTTCAGCATCATATGAAAACTTTAAGTCACATATGAAAGTCCACGTATCAGACAAAAACACACAAAAGAAAGCAGATAGATAAAACCCAATTGAAATTATGATATAACAGAACTCAGATGTCCTATAGGATGTTTGAAACATCTGATCTTAGCGTAACAATACATGCAATGTATAAACATTGAAAATAGTACTGAAAAGTATAAACAAGACACCCAAATTGTTAACCCAGTTTGGAGCAACTCTCCTACTCTGGGGGCATACCAAGCCAGAGAAAAGTCCATTATGATAGTATTAATTCATAGACCTTACAACAAACATATCATTTTACAATTTACTCACCAAATCACTATCCATGCTATAATTTTATTTAAGACTCACCTAGATATGAGGCCCTCCTCAATCCCTCATTAATCACAGACAGCGATTTGACAACAATAATTTTGAACAACCAGGAAGACACACTTCCATGACAATACCTAGTCAAGACCTAAAGATAAACTCCACCATTTATAACTTTATTCCTAACTAAGAACACAACTTGCAGTTGTTTACAAGCTTCCTCTAAGAACAATATTCAACTCATTACTTCACAGCTTCTGAGTGAGAACACAGTGACCATCTCACAACACCGAGTGGTTCACTTACACCAACTCTCCTGAACCCTAATGATTACATCTTTAAGTTCACGGACTGTACCTTTCTTAGGTTACAAAGACTACTATTATAACCTATATCCCAACTGGATTTGGGTCTTCAATCACATCTCATCAGTTGTTACAATTCTGCAGAAGATTCTACATAACAATATGTCTTCAGTCAAAGCTTCCTAATTTGTCTCCATAATTAGATAGTGCATATTATTCAATATTCTTCTTGATTCTTCTTTACCTATAAAACACCACCTCATAGGATAATATAATATCCTTAAAATATATATTATTTTTGTGAATTAACAGATATAACAATCAGTTCAACTCAGGTGCAATGTCGTATGCTCCTTCATAGGACATCTGATACGACATATTGTTCCAGATGATGAGAACTTCTCATCTCAACATGTCTCATAATAAGATAGGACTTCTTGCTCAACCTGTTCCCGTTAGCAAGTTAATACATTTTATCTAACATAATGTTGCTATATTAATTTTACCAAACATAATGCCAATCACATAATTCAGAGAATTAACAATCTCCCCCTTTGGCTTATTTTGGATAAAACTAATTTACATAACCTTTACATACATAAAACAGAACATAATTCAAAGGTTTAATCAATACATCAACAGCAACCATAAAGACTAAAAACATCAGGAGCAGTCAGTCTTTAGTCTTCACATTTGACAGTCTTCAATCTTCAATCTTCATTGTCTTCACACATGATGTCCCAACATCAATAATAAGACTTCTTC